CTGTTCAAATCTCATCAGCTCAGGGTTGACTCAGCCGTTCTGCAGTTCGGCTGTTCAAATCTCACCGGCTCAGGGTTGACTCAGCCTTCCATCCTTCCGAGGTGGGTAAAATGAGGACCCGGATTGTTGTTGGGGGTAATATGCTGACTCTGTAAACCGCTTAGAGAGGGCTGAAAGCCCTATGAAGCGGTATATAAGTCCAATTGCTATTGCTATTTTGCAAAACGGCGCCCCCCTGTTGGCAGGGGAGTCCTCTACGTTCTGCTTTTCAGTGCGGCTTCGGGAGTCCTCGGCTTAGCCACAATTGCTCAGTGAGAAATCGGGGCAGGGAGTTTAGCCTCCCCAGTTTATGGCTTTCCTTGCCACGTTGGTGAAACGGTTCTTTAAATCGGCGACGCCGTTGTTAAGTGACACCCTTCGACTCGGCTGGTCAGAAGGTCGCAAAAGGGGAGCGCGTGAGCCGCCCGGGACGCTGCAACTGTCGTAAACACAAGTCAGTTGCCAAGTCAGTGCGAATTTTGACCCCGAAGGAGTCTGCCACGGTCGTAAGTGTGATGCTTTTTGACTTGATCATAATGCTTTTTTTTGGGGGGGGGGGTGCTTCCTAGCCTAGCTGTGACGAAGCTGGACATCCTTGACACTTTTGAAGAGATCAAAGTGGGCGTGGAATACCATCTGGATGGGAAGCAGATTCCATATTTCCCAGGTGAGACCGCGGAATTTGGGGGGGGGGGAGGTGTCAAACCCCTTATGTCCCAGTAGGCAAGGAGCTAATTCTTGCCTCTGTATCAATAGAAGGGACTATTTGGAGACGGGGGATGAACTGTGGGGGTCCTTGGTGCTCTCTGAGCTTTTGTGGTTTCCTTGGAGACGTTTCGCGACCCAACTAGGTAACATCATCAGTGCTAGAAGGGAGAGGGATTTGCTACAAAAGGCCTCCTGGCACTGATAATGTTACCTTGTTGGGTCATGAAACGTTGGCAAGAAAACCACCCAGCTCAGAGAGCAACAAGGACCCCACAGTCCTCCTCTTTTTTTCCCCCCTCCTAGCACTGATGATGTTACCTAGCTGGGTCATGAAACGTCTGCAAGAAAATCACTAAGCTCAGAGAGCACCAAGGACCCCACAGTCGTCGTCCTCCTTTCTCCCTCTTGCCTTCCTTTCTTTTCCTCCTCTTTTCAATCCCCACTCCCTTCTAGCACTGATGAGGTTACCTAGTTGGGTCATGAAACATCTGCAAGAAAACCACCAAGCTCAGAGAGCACCAAGGACCCCACAGTCCTCCTCCTCCTCTTTCTTCTTCTTCTTCTTCTTCCTCCTCCTCCTCTCCACTATCCCCACTCCCTACTAGCACTGATGATGTTACCTAGTTGGATCAAGAAACGTCTGCAAGAAAACAAGCAAGCTCAGAGAGCACCAAGGACCCCACAGTTCCCCCTCCTCCTTCTCCTCTTCCTTCTCCTCCTCCTCCTCCTCTTCTCCATAATCCCCACTCCCTTCTAGTCCTGATGATGTTACCTAGTTGGGTCAAGAAACGTCTGCAAGAAAATCACTAAGCTCAGAGAGCACCAAGGACCCCACCGTTGACCTCCTCCTTTCTCCCTCCTTCCCTCCTTTCTTTTCCTCCTCCTCCTCTTTGCAATCCCCACTCCTTTCTAGCACTGATGATGTTACCTAGTTGGGTCATGAAACGTCTGCAAGAAAACCACCAAGCACAGAGATCACCAAGAATCCCACAGTTTCCCCCCCCTTCCTCCTCCTCCTCCTTCTCTTCCTCCTCCTCTTCCTTCTCCTCCCCACTCCCTTCTAGCACTGATGATGTTACCTAGTTGGGTCATGAAACGTTTGCAAGAAAACCACCAAGCTCAGAGAGCACCAATGATCCCACATTCCTCTCCCTCCCCCCAAAACCCCACTCCTTCCTACACTGATGACGTTCCCCGGTTGGGTCACGAAAACGCCTGAAAGGAAACTCCCAGTCTCACAGATCCCCCCCGAGGAACCCTAACTAGATCCTCTGTTCCTCCCGATCGCTCTCCTCAGCCAATCAGGAGCTCCTGAACAAAGTCACGGTGAAGTACAAGAACCTCCCCGGATGGAGGTGTTGCACCGAAGGGGCTCGCACCTTTGACGACTTGCCCGCCGAGGCCCAAGCTTACATCCGCTTTATCGAGGAATACCTGGAAGTCCCAGGTGAGTCTTCGGGGCGGTCCCCAAATTGGCGATATATCGCGTTTCCCCGAAAATAAGGCCGTCAAAAATACGAAGCCCCTGTTAAGTATCTGAATGTCAATCACGTGACCCCCACGGGGAAGCTGCAAAGGTCGTACGGTGAAAAACAGTCAAGTTTCCAGTGCCGTTGTAACTTCGGTCACTAAATGGACTGTCGTAAATCGAGGACTACCTGCATAATCAAGTTGCGGGGGGGGGGAGGAAGGGGAGCGAAATTCCAGCACAAAATTGCGACTTGCAAGATTCTGTAATTCGAACCGATGCCGGAATGACCCGTGAGTTGATTTCCTGGTGGTCTCCTCTTTAGATAACTCCCCGTCTCTCTTCTCTCTTTCTCAGTCAAGTGGATCGGCGTGGGGAAATCCCGCAAATCCATCATCAAACTGTTTTGAGGTCTCCCGCCCGGACCGATGGCCGCCCACCCCTGCGGAATGCACTCAAGCCAGCCCCCCCCAACCTCTTACTAGAGCAAACACAGCATCCCTTCCTCAGTTTCCCCCCATGTAAAATTTCCTCTTGGCCCTTCTTTCTCTCCCTTGGCTCCTTTGGAAGTGAATTAGAACCAGCTGGCTGGCAGTTGAGATTTACAAATCTTTCCAGGACAAATTAAGAGCACACACTCCATTTTTGCACGCCTTTCTCCCCCCCCACCCAATAAGTTGCCCTCGATCACCCCTAACCTTCATCTGACCAGCATTCGTGGTTCACTGTCTCTCTCTACATTATTAATCCCCTTGGTCATTCCCTGGCAATTAGCTTGACCTCATATTGGAGGTGTCTCTTCCCCCACCCCCTCCAGCCCAAAAAATTTTTTGGGGGGGGGGTGTTCATGGGAATTGTAGTTCTCTGGCGCAAAAATGGCGGCCTTCTGTTATCTACTACAATTCCACCAAGGGTCGGCTGGCAGTGAGGAATGCTGGGAGCTGTAGTTTCCACATCGTATCTACTGTATAGAACCGGGCGGTAAGTAGCTTTCTGAGCGGGAAAGGTCCGTCGTAATTTCAAACGGTCACAAAGGAGGGGATCCGTCGTAAGTCGCGGACTCCCCGGGCCTTGTTCCTGCTGTCGAAAACGTTTTGACGCGTCGCCCGGTTTTTTTTTTTTTTTTTTTTTGGCTTTCTACATTTTAAAGAGGAAAAAAAAAAAAAACAGCACGCTTTCTACGTTTAAATCTAATTGTGGAGATCTTCCTTCCTTGGGGGGAATCGCTAAATTACGGAAGCACTCCCTGTAGATTTTAACGNTGTGTGTGTGTGTGTGTGTGTGTGTGTGTGTGTGATTTCATTATAACCTTCATCACTATGCGAAAGACAATACTATAAAACTAAAATTTAAATGTTTAAGAGTTCAGCGATAGTTCTGTGCTCCAGTAAGGGCTGGTGCATTGATCCCCACATCACTCCTGCATGTTTGAAAGCTACTCAAGCTACTGTTAATGGCATCTCCCACTCCATGGAATTGGGCAGGCTCAAGTGCACAAGGATAACCTCCCAGCAGAAGAAATATTTTCAGAAGTGCTGATAAAGAACTCAAAGGAATGGTTTTCAATGGGAGCACTTTGGGGGCAATTTAGCTTAGCTAATCCAATCTCAGCAAAACACATTTACCAGAACTACAGAAGGAGTCCAGCAGTTATTTCAAAAAAATTATAACAGGGACAAGAGCATGTTGAAGGGGCAGGGGAAAAAGAAATGGAAGTAGCTATGGCACTGTGCATTTCTTTATAGCAATAACATTCAAAGATTCTATATATAGGAAGCATTAATGTACAACATGAGATGGGATGGTGCAGTGGTTAGAATGCAGTATTGCAGGCTAATTCAGCTCACTGCTAGGAGTTCAATCCTGACCGGCTCAAGGTTGACTTAGCCTTTCATTCTTCCAAGGTCGGTGAAATGAGGACCCAGATTGTTGGGGGCGACATGCTGACCCTGTAAACCACTTAGAAAGGTCTATAAAGCACTATGAAGTGGTATATAAATCTAAGTCCTATTGCTATCTGTAGATAGCACCACAAAAAATGATACTAGCAAGATCCTTCTTTAAAAAAGGCTCTAGCCAACATCTGCTGGGAACAGGAAAATTGTTTACATGGAAGGAAAGAAGACATGAGTGGGCCAGATCATTTGATCGGGGTGGTATTACAACTGTGCTAGTTGAAGCCACGTCTTTGGTACAAAACAGGAGTAATTTTAAAAAAAATCACACCACACTTAGTAGATAGGGCAAAGTCACTGGTCTCAAAAAACAAAACCAAAAAATCTTACTAAATCATAATCCAAGCTAACACCAAGGCTGTTACTAATAAATAAAAGACCTTTGGGAAGAGTGCTGAGTACCAGATCTATTTTCAGCCTGCATCAGCAGCTGCTACCCCTGGATCACATCTTTATTCATACCCCAACACTATACGTAATCACTGGAGTGCTGCAACCAGTAAGATAATGAAAGAGCCCAGCATAAATCTGTTCTTGAGTGGAATGCTAAATGAGAAAAATAATACAAAAAGGGGAGGGGGAAATAAACCACATTTTCAAGTCATTAAGAAGAAAGACTTTGACATATGAAGTGTTGCAGCCATTAATAGCACTTATCATATAGAGTGGAGACAAAGAGACAGATTAATCAAACTGACAGAACCGGGACATTTTATGCTAATATGGTCTCTTGGGTTTTTGTTTGTATTCCTCTGTGCCTGAAAAAGTGATACTATTACAGGGGAGGGAACTGGAAAAACAACATGCAACAGATCATAAAAATTCACATGACACAGAACAATACGAAAAGTGTTGAAAAAGCAAATGTGGGGATCAGGGCAGAGAAACTGCTTGTGATAAGGACACAAACATGTTTAGGAATGCTTTATTTTCATATCTAACAACAGTTTCTCTCATTCCATCTCTGAATCACTGAAAAGACGAAGGAAGGCAAGGGATCTGCTGGTCAAAAAGACGTGCTGGAGGAAAGGCAGTTTTACTTATATCAATAATCTCATACTCTATAATAAAGGAAAGTTGTTAAAGAGTTTCACTATTGTTGTGTTTTGAGAGCTGAAGGAGGCCATAAGTGAGAGGTAATGTAATTGCTTTGTATACAAGAAGTGCCAGGCTCCAGTGCCACTGTCTAGGAAACTAGTAAAGACTTCTGCAAAAACAAAACAAAAAAGTCTCATAAAGTAGTTGTCAGAAAAAACCAACAACAAAATGAACTGGCTGAATCAATCATTTAATTTTGCATAAAGCAGCTTTCTCTGTAGTTTGTACTTCAAAAAGTAAGAAAGGAAGTGAAAAGCAGAGCCAATAATAATCTGATATCACAAAGTGATAGCATCTGGATTTGCTGTCCTCAAGAGCAGGGGTCTCCAACCCTCCAGGCTGCTATTGGCAGTGGCTTATTTAGAACCAGGCTGTGTGAGCTGTGAGGCATATGTGTGTATGCACTGGCCCGCCGCTTGTGCACGTTGAGCTATGCACGCCAGCCCGCTGCTCACGTGAACCAGTTCCCTTCTCCTCCCCCACCAGGCTGCCAAGCCACAAAGGTTGGGTACCGCTGCTCTAAAGGTTTTGGACTGTGATACCCATAATCCCTTGTTATTGTCCAAGTTGGTGGGGGGGGGGCATTGGGAATTAAATTCTAAAATATCCCGGGAGGAATAGATTGCGCCCACCTGATCACATCAATGGGATTTTAGACCATGCACTTCATTTGTTTTGTTTTATTTTTTTAAAGCTAAAGTTGAACTTCTTTTTGTGCAGCAAAATCTGCAATATTGACAGTCATGAACCCCTACGGATTTTCATTGTATGTCATACTTATTCAATCTTTGAACAAAACAAAATATACATCTTCAGAGAATTGAGTTTTATTGCTTTCACTTGAAGTATTGATGGAGGCAAACTGCCATTCTCCAAAGACAAAGGGGGAAGGCAAGTAAAAGTAAGAATGAGCACCTGTCAAGTTAGTAGTGGGTTAAACAAATGGCGAAGACCTCAGTGAGAAATTGCTGCAGGCACATGATGGAATTATATTATATAAAGTCTGTAATATCAGCATCTAGCTATAGCTAGTAACTACAGCGTACTATGAACAGTGGCCTCAGGACTCATGTGGCTTCCAGCTCTCTGGAAATATCAAGTGTATTTGTTCTTCTGATCACTACTGTTAAAAATAGATGATTCTATTCCCCACTACCGAGAGATGAAAAGCACATGAAATCTGTTGGGTAAATCCTATAATAATTTAACATATTTTAAAAAAAACACCCTCCTTAACTAAATTCCACTTTGCACCATGGCCTTCATATAGGTTCATATAGGTCAGTGATGGCGAACCTTTTCCTTGAATCCTGAACATGCGAACTACGATTGTAGAATATAAATACCGTAAAACATGTTTCCCCAAACACCTATATCCGTGATGGTGAACCTGTGGCGTGCCAAAATTGCATGTGTGTGTGCTATTGCGCATGCACATATGCCCAATCTCCCTGCCGAACAATGCATGTGCATGCGACCCCCCCCCAACACACATGCACACGCAACTCCCCCCCCCAGGCTCCGGAGGCTTTCCTGAAGCCTAAAGAGGGTGAAAATGCCCCCCTCAGCTCCCCGGAAGCCAAAAACGGATTGTTTCTGAACTTCCGGTTGGCCCATTGCGGTCATTTTTTGCCCTCCTCATGTTTCAGGAAAGCCTCCGGAGCCTGGGGAGGCGAAAAAGGGCCTCAAACGGGCCAATTGGAAGTTCAGAAATGATCTGTTTCTGGCCTCGGGAGGGCCTCTGGGGGGCCAGGAGAGGCCGCTTTTGCCCTCCCCAGGCTTCAGGAAAACCCCCCGGAGGCTGGAGGGGATGAAAAACAGCACCAAGGGGCCAACCGAAAATGGCCTCCCCATGTCCTCTGGAAATGTGAAAAATCAGCTGTCAGATGGTGTGCCACCAAATATGGCTCTGCGTGCCACACGGATATAGGTGTTTTGGAAAACATGTTTTACGGTATTTATATTCTACAATCGTAGTTCACATGTTCAGGAGTCAAAGCTGGAATTAAAAAGATTTTAAAGAATAGAGATAAATGAGACTCAAGAAAGTCACTGCCAATGACATAATGCTCTCCATGGAGAAAGAGGATGTGGTTCTTATAACGTACTTAGCGTGTGTGTGCGTGCGTGTGTGTGTGTGTGTTGTATGTAGGACTTCGTAATTTATTTTTAGCCTTCTGCCTTTCCCTGCTTCCCAACATTTCCAGTCTTCCAGTTATTTGTAATACCTTGAAATTAAGACTCATAGCTGTTCTATGGGCAATTNGATGATCATCTAAACAGATACGTGACCAGGAATTCGGGGGCAGCTATTTTAAGCTGCCACCATCAGCACGCTCCTCCCAGGAAGCCTCTTGATCTTTATCTATTGATGCTGCTTAAAATTGTACAGGTAGTCCTCGGTAGACTACAATTGAGCCCCACAAGCAAAGCCAATGGGGAAACCAGATTCACTTAACAGCTGCTGTTAAGTGAACCTGGTCTCCCCATTGGCTTTGCTTGTCAGAAGGTCTCAAAAGGGGATCATGTGACCCCAGGATAATGCAACCATCGTCAATACAAGTCAGTCATCAAGCATCTGAATGTAGATCATGTGAACATGGGGAGGCTGCAATAATTGTGAGAAATGGTCATGTCACTTTCTTCAGTGCCGTTGTAACTTCAAATAGTACTAAATGAACTTGTAAGTCGAGGACTACCTATATCTGCCTTTCTTGTTTCACTATCCTACAGTTGGCTTCTATTCACCTTGTGATCCATTGAGACATCCAGGTGTTTTTCACGTGTCTGGTTCATCCGCCCTGCATTTTTTAAAAATACCTTTATTTTTTCCTTGCTTTTGTCTCAGTTTACATTCATGCTTCTGGGTTTTGCTCGAGGCAGTCGAGCTGTCTGCTGTCTGTAAACTGGTCACCATTTACCTATTTGCTTGTCAAAGCCATTTATCAAACAGAGCCTGCCATCCTCCCCTTGATGCTCCCCTCCAGCTCAGCACAGAGCCATTGGGCCTTCTCTGGTTATAGCAGTTCAACCAGCTCTGCATCTACTCAGGGGTAACCAGCTCTGCACCTACTCGGAGGTAGCATCGCCTGACCTCTGCTTTATGACTTCTTCTCTACTTGGCTCTCAAGGGAGACTTTTGTCAAGTGCTTTGATGAAGCTCAAGCAGAGGCTGTGCGCTGCATTCCTGTGGTCAGTTAAACCGGTCTTTCTGTCAAATTCTGTCAATGGACCACTAGGGCTCTTTCGGCTGTCAGTTTTCTATATTTCCACATTCTTTAGTCACAACTCTTGTGAATTCATGTTGGAAGTTTTTTTTTAACTTGGAGTTTTCTTTTCAGAGAATTCTTGGAATTCTTGGAACCAGCGAGCAAGTGAACGCAGCATCAGGTAATTGAGCTGTCCCCAACTGCATCTACTAGAGCAGGGGTGGCAAACTCCATTTCATTGAGGGCCGCATCAGGATGGTATTTGACCGGCGGGGGGGGGGGGGGGGCTCAATGTCACTCATGTCAGGGGTGCCTTTGGTCCAAGTGCTCTGCAAGCGGCAGCAGTCTCCCAAGCTCCCATTTCTGGCTGTGAAGGCCTCCTGCAACCCTCTGCCAGTGAAAATGGAGCTCAGGAGGGTCACACGTGGCCCCGTTTTCACTGGCAAAGGCACTGCAGGCCAGTCCTTTGCTGTTTCTAAGGCAGCCCTGCGGGCCAGATCTAAGCATCCCGTGGGCCTGATCCGCCCACCGGGTCTTGAGTTTGACACCCCTGTACTAGACATAAATCTACTTTTAAACAGTGGCCCCTCTACAAGTAAGAGAAACATATGTTTGTGGATGAAGAACACTTGAGGAGAGAAGACTGAAGTCCTTGTCTCTCGGCATGCCAGCTTCCCAAAGTCAAGAATCAAAATGTTCAGCCACTTCCCTACTGTAATCCCCCTCCAAAAACCAGGGTTGTGGAGAGACCACAGCCCCGGAAGAGAAATCCTGTAGGCAGTACTTAACTTAGGAGGAGTCTGTTTCTTTACTGAATGGGGGATCATTTCCTGCAAGTCACATTTAGAAATTAGAGATCTACTACACTGAAAGCAGAGGAATCCCAAATCAGACCGGGTACAGTGTTTCTTCTCCCACAGCTTCCCAGGGACATCCACTCAAGAGCATGGACTTCATCTCCCAGCAATCAAAATCATTGCAGAGACTGCTGGAAACTGTAGTTCATATGAATTATCTGTCCTGGATGGCATGAACTGCAGTTGTGCCAGCATTCTCAGGGATGCCCAAATCCATCCAAGTGATTCTGTTCAAAGTAAACTATCCAAATGGCAAGTGTTTGATGGACATCTTCTAGAGATTACTCCTATGGCGAAAGGAATACCAGAAAATAACTGAATCTTCTTTCTCCTGAAACAGAGATAAGATCTGCAATCATGAGCAGGATGGAAATGAACTGCAGACCACACCAGAATTCCGAGCACACGTTGCAAAAAAACTGGACACCATCCTGGACAAGTAGGCACAAGCATTTTATTAACATTTCCCTTTAGGCATGGCCTGGTGAGAGCTTTTCATAGAGAATCCTGAATAGCAATAGCAATACACCTAGACTTGTATACCCTTCACAGAGCTTTACAGCCCCCTCTATAGATTGAGTCTACCTTGAGCCACTGAGAATTGAACTGGTGGCACTTGGCAGAATTAGCCTGCAATACTGCATTCTAACCACTGTACTATCACATTCCCACTACAAGGGACTTATCGATATACTGCAGATACCTCTTGGTTGGCAATATGCAGGTATCAGTATTGTTGCTTGCAAAGCTGTTTCTAAATTAGACATCCTGATCTGCACAGAATCACATGAACATCCTTGGGATAAAACTCCATGATGTGCTTCTAACCCAAATGTGCCAACCTGGTTGGTATGGTCCTTGGCAGGGAATGCTTCATGTTGCATGGATACAACCGAGGCTGGTTGTCCGACTTCTACATTCACTTCTTTCCAATCATGTTCCTTGAAAATCTTGATGGACAGCAGAGGTCAATATATACATTTTACATACATACACACATACATACATATATATATTGCGTGTGTCCCCTCGTTTATTAACTGCCTTGTTTAGTGACTCTGCAGTTATGATGAAGAAGTAACTTTCCATCCAATCCTTGCATTTATGCCTTTGCAGATCATAGAAAAGTTGAAATGAAATCATCAGCCCAATGACAGTTCTTCTTAGCGGCCACTTTGTTTGATGACTGAGTTGTGGGTTCCCATTGTGGTCACTCTTCCAAGGTGGGTGAAATGAGGACCCAGACTGTGGGGGCGATATGCTGATTCTGTAAACCGCTTAGAGAGGGCTGAAAGCCCTATGAAGCGGTATATAAGTCAAATAAATAAATAAATAAATAAATATAACTCAGGTCTATGAAGCTAAGAGAAAATAAGAGAGGATCAATCTGAAAGAATGTGAGGCCTTTGGACTGGAGTGGATGACGTGAAGTTTTATTAACAGGAGAGCTAAAACGCAGGTCAGAAAGCAGGCATGAGGTTTATCTCGTGATGAAGGTTGCAGGTGAAAGGAGGGACCGACAGGCAGGAGGCGTTTGCATGTGACACACCTCAGTGACAGGATAACAGAAGAACCAGAGATGAATTTGCTGACAAAATGTGCAACATTCTGAATAAATGTCATCAAAGGGAAAGTTTTTATATGCCCTCCATCTCCCTATCCGGCAACTCTGAGCACTTAAAATATTCCGTTAAGTGGCCTGGATGTGTTGAAACAAGATGAGAGATGATTAACCTGACTTTCCTTCCTTGAAACTAATCGAATAACAACTGATGTCAAAAGGTGAAAAGGTCCATTGCTTCCCCCATCAGCTGTGCTAAAGTCCTAGATTTCTCAGTGCCTTTCTCTAGGTGTGTGGGAGGGGAAGACCTCTCTGGATGCTCTGGCTATGCTCTTTTTCTCCTTCCATCTGCATTCCTGCTTTGGCCAGTGTCCCCTGAAGTCATTTGGACAGAATCTGTTCTGCTGGTCGGGGCCATATCTCTGGTTTGAGGGGCCCAGATTTTGGGGCTTTTGCTCTCCTGGGAACTTGGGCCAGCTGGGAGTGTTAAATGATCAGCAAGCTCTTGGTTGCAGATTTAGCCTGTGTTTTTTTCAGGCATGAGAGGCTACAAGAAAACTCCCTGCAAGCCACCCTTGGCACCATGCAGAGTGGCAGCCCTGGCTTCCTCTCTCCCTCCATTGTGCTGATCCTGCTTTTTCTTTCAGTACGATAACTCTCTCGACGTGCCTGTTGCGACTCCCGCGAGACGAGAACAACGTCTCCCTGGAAGAAGACAGTGGTGAGCCGCCTGCCTGGGGGAAGATGTGTCCTGTTCGTTCAGCCTGCTGGGGCTCTAGAACAGGGATGCTGTGCTGGCTGGGGAATCCTGGGAGTTGAAGTCCCCAGGTCTTAAAGGTGCCAAGGTTGGACACCCCTGTTCTAGATGGATGCTTGAGCTGCATGGGATTGATGGGCTGTGTGTGTGAGAGGTTCATTCCTTTCAAAGGGTCCGTCTTTCGGCACCAGAATTGATGTTTGCAATGTGGGCTGTAGGAAACTCAGCTCCTATGAGCCTCTTCTTCCTCCTTTCAGGCCCTAGCTTTTAATTCTAGGAAGCAGCCTGAGAGTTGCCTGGCCCAGTCTGAGCAGCTGACTCACATAGCACCTTCCCTCTTTTTCCTCTTGAAATTGTGCAGGCTTTCGCCTCTTTTCCTCCTCTGTCCCAGGAGACGGTGGGGAACCAGAAGCTGCCCCTCGGAAACAGTCAGCGTTCCAGCGTTCCAACTCCAGGTGAGGAATGGGAGGGGGGGGGGTCTCTGCCATGAAAAGAGGCAACAGACAACGGCCTCGGCTGCTAATGTAATGCACTGAAGCCTTCTGGCTTGCAAATGGGCTTCAGTCAGTCTCTGAGGGTGGCTCAGGATCTGGGCTCTGGCAGCCTTGCCCTCCTGGGTGCCTTTTATTTCATTTATTTATATCTCATTCAACTCAAGGTGGCAAGTATACTAATACTCCTTCCTCCTCCTGTTTTCCCCACAACAACCCTGTGAGGTGGGTTGGGCTGAGAGAGAATGGCTGGCCCAGATATCCAGGCGGCTTTCACGCCTGAGGCAGGACTAGAAGTCACTGTCTTCTGGCCCAAAGTCTTCCAGGCATCCTTCATGCCTAAGGAGGGAGTAAAACTCACGGTCTCCTAATGATTGGCCCAGGATCGCCCAGCCAGTTTTCGTGCTTAAGATAGAACTAGAACTCACCTTCTCCTGGTTTCTGTCCTGGTGCCTTGACCACTAAACCAAACTGATTCATATACTGTGTCAAGCAACAGTCTTTAATTAAATGGAGATAGCCTTGGTCATCTTTAAGCCATGGCTTAGAGATGGACCAAGGCAGTAGATTTTAATTGATGCCAGTCAAATGTTACCTCTCATAGCACAGCATGCAGCACCATCAATGGACTCAGTTTGCATAACATGGTGATTGTGTCCACCCAGGATAACAAGCACATTTTAGCCAAGCATCTCGTGCAAACTCAGCACGTAAAGTTGGCTGAAGTATAAAGAATATTGGTTGAATGACGTGATTAAAGATAAGTCAGCATGACTCACTCATAAAGGAAAGAAACACCTGGTTTTCCAGCTGTTAATATGGCTTCATTAATATACCCCCCTCACTCCCATGTGTATCTGTATCTTTCATAATAGTGGGCCGTTTCAGTCTCATAATTGTAAACAATTAATAAGCATATTTACGTATGTATTAGCCAACTATGGGCAAAAATGTAACTCTGCTTTCCTCCCCAGCATTGCTTGTGATTCTTCCAGCAGCCTGGAAAGTGACCCAGAGTGGCAGAGATGCCAAGAAGCTGCAGTGACAGCAGCAGACATTCTGAAGCACAGTGGTCTGCCACCAACAGTGGCCCAGGACTCCGGCCAAACAATAGAGGCCAGATGGAAAAAAGTCAAGAAGAAGAAGAAGAAAGGGAAAAGAGAGGAAAGTGGCCAGCCAGAGGCCATCGGAGCAGCAAGTAATAGCCAGAACAAGGAGCCCTCATGTCCCATCAGTGCAGAGGCTGTCAGTTGGACAGAGATAATGCAGAGGAAGAGGAAGAGGAAAAGGAGGAAAACAGAAGCAGGAACAGAATGACCCTCCCCCCAATATTTAATTTGCCAGGGGAGTTTGCATGCCAGCCTGTCAAAGTGGGCACCCCAACTGCTGCTTTCTCCAGTGAGCCCCAGTGGCTCTTGGAGCTGCAGGACATCAGGGAGGGGCAGTGAAGACGGTGAGAGGGCATGGATGACCAGCTTTGTGGGAAACCTGGGGGAGCAGCCAGAGCAATTTCTGTTTTCTTACCTGGTCCATCTGAAGAATGATGTGACTCTGATTTTGCAGATATGGTTCCAGTCTCTATGAGATGGTCATTTTGTGAATAGTCAATATACAAAACAATATTTTAGGTACAGAGTCTCCTTTGTTTTATTGACCAAAAGTTAAATATATTTACAAAACAGAGCTGAGGAGGCCCTTGATTCTGCAAGGGAAATCTCCAGCGTGCTCTGGGGCCTGAGAGCAGCACCTGGAGCTTGAAACCTCCAAATGGATAAATTTGGCTACTGATTTACATGATTCAAAAACTCAGTGAATAATATTTTGAGCCTGAAATAAGTACAGTGTGATGCATAGACTAGACTTATGCCTAGTTCATTTCTGACTTTCCTTTTCACTTGGACTTGACCAGTGATTTCCCCTCTGGCTATTTTCTTCTTGCTTCTTCCGTGTGAACAATTTGTGGTTCTCCTAACAAGAGAAAGACCTTGGCTTTGCCCATTCTGTGTGGAGACACTGATCTCCAGCGAGGCCAAGAGTAAGCCAGCATATCCCCAGAGGTTCACTGTGAGGGAAGTTTTGAGTAGTGGTCTAATTGGCTAAGTTGTTGCCGGTGATAGCAGACACACTTCAGCTTCAGCTCTGCCTCTGGCCACAGTGCAGGTGTCTCCAAAGCCTGATCCTAAAATGAGCAACCACTAGTGGAAAAAACACAGCTAGTATTCTGTGCTTCAAAAATAAACCCCTTGTGGAAAAAAATGCCTGTTTCTGCAACTGGTTCAAATTATGTCCAGTCAGAGGCTGTGGTACATAACTAACCTGGCACTTGGGGGTGTTGTCCGAATCCAGGAAGGGAGAGTTGAGGCAGATCAGATACAGAGGGGGGAAAAGCTGATGGAATGCAGGTGGTCTCAAATTCTTTGACTTGGGGTAGCAACAACAGAATCCCTTTGTTGCTAAGCAATTTATAGAAATGATGCTCACCCTCTTTGGGGATTTATTGCTATTTTTACTATTTACAAATAATTTTTACTATTTTGAGGACAAGCTATTTGGTTTGCTTATCTCTAAAATGGGAGACAAGACTCTTAGCCTTCTGCATCTCAACTCAAGGTCCATATTTTACTTAGGCTCTTAACTCTATTACGGGTGTTCCTTTTAATTTAACTTTGAAAACAGTATTCTCTTTTATGATGTAGGGTGCAGCTGTCGCACTTGATTGCTGCCAGAGCAGATTCCTGGTGCCTTGCACTAATGCAGGAGCATGCAGAGGTTCCAGGAAGTATCCCCTGCGTGGTTCAGACCTTTGGCAGCAGAACTGCTCTCCTGGCAGTTTCCACCTGGGGCCAAGCCTGAGGGGCTGCTTGTGGGCTGAGAACCAGCCAGGGCCTCACTGCAACCAGAGCCCACTTGAGTCTGGCTGGAGAGCAAGTTCTCCCCAGGCTCCTGCAGTGCCCCAGGTGAGTGCCTCTTCTACATCCTTTACAGAGGAAGAGTGCTCCCTTGTTTTGTTCCTTGTTCCAACTCTGCCTTGTCCTTGCTCTGGAGGCCCATCTGAAGAGCAGAAGGAGCCTCGTTGTTCTACTCCACCATCCCTCACCCCTCGGCAGCCAGCCCCACATCAAAGAACATTGTCCACCACAGACCCTGCCTGCCTGCTTTCTCTAGCTTTTCTTAGCTGTGCAAAAGCTCCACCTCAGCTCCTGCTTGCTTGGTGCATAGTTTTGCTTGGAGTTTTGAAATAGCAGTGTGTGTTGGAGATGGAGGGTGGGGTGGGGGAAAGAGCCATACAAATCCTGGCAGAGGAGGCAGCCAGGGGCACAGCCTGGCCTTCCCTCCCAGGAGCAGGGATGGGGTGCAGGAGAAGTCCCTCGGGGTGCAGGCAAGGGCTCCCAAATGTCCAGTTATTGTGTGGAAGAAGCCATGTGGGTGGAGATGAAGGTCTCTATCACGCTGTGGGCAGAGGGCAGCAAGTGGCCGTTGGAAGAGTCGGAGCTCTGGTAAAGGACCAAACTGCCGGACGAGACTGTTTGGGGGGGAGCAGAAACAAGAGGTGAGCCCATTGCACAAGGAACTTTTCGCTCTTCACAATCCAGAGGGGCTAATAGGCCCTACCCGCCAAAGTATCCAAGCCCTATTTCATCAGCTAATTAAAAAACACGGAAGGGATTATTTTTAAAATAACCGACAGCATGTTTTATTCCTAGAGAGTTTATGGCTGACTGTTGGGGACATCAGAAGAGCCGAAGCTCCCATTCTGGCAGGTGACAGGGACTCTTAGATGATGCCCCATTGCTAAGCGGATCCCCAAGGAACAAAGGAGGGCCTCTGTCTCCATCAGTCATCCCAGGCCGCTGAAGGCAAAGCTTTCCCTTTCTTTTAGGGCTGGGGAGAGCATTTTGAAGGGAGAGGGCTGCCAGTATCTCAAAGTCTGAACACCCCAGGGGAGGGGGTGCCTCACCTCAGCAGACCTCCTCCAGCTGTCTGCATGGGTTTGTGTACACTTGGACAAGATGGAGTGGCTGTGTGTAGGCTGGGGTTCTGCATGGTTAGCCACAATTCATTTGCCAAGATTACAGATAACCAAATGGAGCATTTCTCTGAAGGTGGCTGCTGAACGGCTACACTTTAAGGTATTACGTTCAATTGAGAAGAGATTAAAAGCACAGAGCTTTAAAACACATTTTAGCCTGGGGGACCCTTTCATTACCTATGAAATGGAAACTTTTCTGGCTCCATTATGGAGGCATACAGGTAGTCCTCAGGTTATGACCATAATGGAGATTGTCCATTATGGCCATGAATCATAATGATCGTAAAATTTTATAACTTTTTTGCAGGGGTTATTAAGCCAACCCAGTGGTCATAAGTGCAAATGGCGGCTTTGAATAAAATGTTCCAGGACCTACTAAGGGACAGAACATATAGTGAAAAGTTGCAGCTTACCAGCAGGGCTGGAAGTCAAGCAGGGTCCGGACTGAAGGTGCGACTGGATGGAGCCTTCCTGTCCCTGCAGGTGGACCGAAGGTTGGCTGGTGGGAGTTGGGATCCCAGATTCCGTGGGAGTCTCTGCATCTGACGTGAAGATCTGGGGGGAAACCACAGGCCAACCCAAAGACAGTTACAAAGCTTGCCCGTGCTACTTGCAAGACGCAGCACAGCAGAAGTTGGACATTTTTGTTAAACAGCAGGATTGTTCTAGCCAGGCTTAGAAACTAACATCGATCCAAGACGTTCAGAAGAAATGCTTTGACCTTTGGCTGCTTGGTATCCAGGGTCTTTGGTCCTAGAGACTGCAGTTCATGTAGTAATGTTTCCCTAGGTTGTATGGGCTTCCTCCTGCCCCTTTATGACCCCTCCTGCCCCTCAGGCTGTTTGTGGGAGAAGATTGAACCAAAGCTTTTCATTGTTTACCAGGGTTTGAGGCAGCTGTTAAATTTATCCTTACCCAGTTCCTTTATTTCCAGCATACCCAAAGGAGCCTTTTTTGTCCTTTGCCTCCTTCCCCAAAGCTCCTCTTTTCTGCAGTGTTTCCCTTTCCTCTGTCTAAAGTCAGAGGCTTCCCAGCTCTGCTCTTCCATGAGAACCGCTTGCCTCTCCGTTTCCTGAAAGTGCCTCCCCCCCCCCTCTTTAGACCTTCACTCGGCCTTTTTGTGGGGCTCTACTCCTGTGTTCCATTTCCTTCATTTGATTTATTTGTTAAGGGCGCTTTCAAAATCTCCTCTTTTAGGAGCAGCTACCCATCCTGAAGTCCTCCCCCCCATTTCTCCTGCTACCTGTTCTATTTATCATTGTTTTATTTTGAACAAAGTTCAAATTCATTAAAGTGCAGGACACATATGCCTACGCTCAGACTTATTATTTGTTAAAATCAGGAACTGGCATTCACTGATCCATTTCCATTAATTTTCCTGCTGCTTCCATTTCCTCAGCTAAACTTCCTATTGCTTAGCATGCAGCCCAGCACAGCTGTGAACCTCTTCTGCCTTCCTGGATTCTCGCTTGGAGTAAATGGTCAGCAAGAGAAGCTGGGAATGTCTTGGAAGGGTCAAGAGATGTTGGAGCTTCCATCAATGGCCTTTGGTGCCTCTGCAACTGGCAAGGTGCAAATAGGATTAGAATAGAATAGAATAACAGAATTGGAAGGGACCTTGGAGGTCATCTACTCCAACCCTCTGCTTAGGCAGGAAACCCTACACCAGACAAATGATTATCCAACATCTTCTTAACAACTTCCAGTGTTGGAGCATTCACAACTTCTGGAGGCAAGTCGTTCCACTAATGAATTGTCCTAACTGTCAGGAAATTTCTCCTTAGTTCTAGGTTGCTTCTCTCCTTGATTAGTTTCCACCCATTGCTTCTTGTCCTGCCCTCGGGGGCTTTGGAAAATAGCTTGACTCCCTCTTCTTTCTTACAATTTGCTGGCCCCAAACTTTGCAGGCAAGCTCCCCTTATTTTTTTCCTGTTTCTTCAACCAGTTCCTTCCCCTTCTTTAAAGCAGCTGGGTTCTCCCACCCACTCACCCCCAGCTTCTGTGGGGAGGAGGGGAGCAGCACCTGCTTTAAAGAGTTGACTGCAGCCTGAAAAAGACAGGCTGCTCAAATAAATAATCAGGAGAAGTTTTGCTTCTACTTACGGGAGGTCCAAAGGCCTCCTGAGTCATTTTCAAAGCGTGCACAGACCTTAAATCTTTAAAAAGCAAATTAAACTTCACAATACCATAAAATCAGTAAAAAAAGCCAATCTTGCCACCCTTGGCCTTTGATCTTCTAATCTTGAAAACGTTGGAGGAGAAGATCAAAGGCACAAACTGGCCATAAAGCTAGAAAAGAACGAGTGAGCTCCGCTCTGAAACCTTTCAAAGACAGGAAGTAACTAGATGGCATGACAGAGGAGGCCCCGTTTTCTCTTGTCTTCCCTCTGGCAAATATCTCAGCTTTTTACGGCCAAGGAAAACCTGCCCTGGGCAACTTTCCTGTGCTCACACAGCCCGTTTAAGCAAGAGTGGGCCACCTTTTGTTAATTGGAGGGTGCAGAGTGACTTAACAAGGAGACGGGCAGCAGATACATTTAATACATGAATAAAATGCAACCTGCTCTCCTTGCCAACAAAAGAACCGGAGGATACCTTGCGGGAACAAAGTTACCTTGCCTGCAGGGCCAATAGGGGACGGGGAGGATGTTTAACCTTAAAGGTGGGAAGGAGAGCAGGACCTCTGCCTTCATCCCCTAAGAAAACCTCCAGAAATGACCCCAAGTTCTGCCATTTGAAACTTGGGATGCAAAATTTAGCAGGAACAAGAGATTTAATTTCTGGTTGTAAAACTCACACTTGTGTTTGGCTAGCAGTTTTATCTAATTGTTTTTGCAAATCACCACTTTCTTATAAAAGAGTATTTGCAGCTATTGGGTCTTTAGTGCTCTCTGAGTTTGTTTTCTTGCAGACGTTTTGTTACCCCACGAGGTCATATTATCAGTGCTAGAAGAGATTGACAGTTTAACAAAGTTGAAAGGGACCTTGTAGGTTATCTACTCCACACACCCCACACACCCCCGCTCAAGCAGGAGACCCTACACCAGTGAGGGCGAACCTTTTTCACCTCAGGTGCCAAAAGCATGCGTCTGTGTGCTATTGCGCGCACTCGTGTGCCCACCCCCATAATTTAATGCTGCCCTGCACTGTGCCCCCTGCGCATGCATGTGTGTCATACACACACACCTGCTGCCCCATGCATGCACATGGCTTTCTTGAAGCCTGGGGAGGGTGAAACGGCCTCCCCTGCTCCCCCCCCCCAGACCCTCCAGAGGCCGGAATAGCCTGTTTTCCAACTTCCGGTGTGCCCGGTAGGTCTGTTTTTTGCCCTCCCTGAAGCGTCCGGAGGGTGGAAAACAGCCCAACGCGCAAACCAAACGTCTCTTTCCAAACTTCTGGTTTGCACATTCAGGGAAGCCTCCAGAGGGCAGAAAACGGGCGGAAATCACGCCCAAAAACCAGCTGGCCAGTGCGCGCATGCACACATGCTGGAGCTGACAGGGCAATGCCTCGCGTGCTCTTAGAAATGGCTCCAGGTGCTCCCTGTGGCCCGTGTGCCATAGGTTCGCCATCCTGGCCCTGCACCATTTCTGACCGATGGCCATCCAGCCTCTTCTTGAAAGCCTCCAGGGATGAAAAAGCTGCCAGAGAGGGAGTGGGGTTTGCTCTAGGTTTACACACTAGTCTCTTGTTCCGCAGAAGAAACTGCAGGACTTGCCCCTTGGGCCCAGGCTTGGTCTGCTGTGGATGCAGAAGCAGCTCCCATGAGGTTCAGCTCAGCTTGTTCTCTGTTGACACTTGGACCACATGGGTGCTGGCCCCTTGGGCTCCCCTCACCCCCCCCGCCCCCCCTCACCTGTTTGGTTGGTGTCAGGCTGGCCAAAGTACTGAGGTTCGCTGTGTCTGTGATGACCATGGTCTGGGGTAGAAGGCTGGTATGTGCATATTGGGTCACCTCTGGCTTGTGGCTGTAGAGAGCTGGGAACAATGGAGGTGAAGAAGGCGCCATGAGCAACGGAGGCCTTGTGGGACAGGACAGAAGGTCTCCTTTCCATCAGCTCCAAGGTGCAGGAAGGCTGCCTGGCGTGGAGCATTCCCAGAATGGCCGTCCTCCCTTCCCAACCTACCGTGAGGAGCCTGGATCTGGGCCATGGTGGCCATGAAGGGGCTCTGGTTGAGGTGGCCCTGGACCTGCTGCATGATGGGCTGCTGGTAGGACGGGTGCAACTGCTGGGAGAACTGGACCGGTTGGAGGGTGGTGAGGCTGCTGCCCATGTTGTTGATCATAGGGACGCTCTGCCCTTGGGTGGAAGCCAGACCTGGAGACAGGAGAGCCTTCGTCAGGCTGGGCTGCAGCAGCACCCAGAGCTTGCTGGGCTGTGGCATCCGGGGGCCTGACTGTCAAACCCTCAGTGGCTCCCCCTTGACATGAGCCCACAGCCCCCATGCACCCCGCCACACCATTGGATGAGTTCACCAGTCTGCTAACCCAAGCTAACCAGTTTCCTTGGTTTCGTCCTAGCAGATTCTTTTGTGCAAAATGGGATGACTAGCTTACTGGCCACGGGGTGGCTTGTACAATCAACCGTGCAAATTGGCTTAGTGTAGTTAAAGAGTCCAGCCACTGAGCTGAAAGATATGGCTTTTCATGGTGTGCCATGTTTTTGATTGGCAAACTATGGTTTATAGGATTCTGTTGTATACATGGACTTAAATGCTGGTTAAGGTGAATTGGGGCTTCCTGGAATGTATGAAGCCACCCACATTTGCAGCCCTGTTAACCTGGAGCACAAATCTCAGTGTGGCCCCTTTGGCTACTTCTTCGGTTCCTTTGGGTGAAGGCTGAGCTCCGGCCATAATATTTTCCACCCAAAGATATCATCTCGGCTGGATGGCCTCGAGCTACGGGCAGCCCCTGCCAATAAGAAAGGAATGCCCAGCAGAGGGGCAGCAGAGGGCATGGCTCCTGAAGAGGGAGCTGCCCTGCATATTCCTGGGTGCCAGCTCATTTCATGCTGCCTATAAAGAGCCCTCTCTCCACACCCAATGCCGCCTCACTTACCAATGACTAAGGTGGAGGCCCCCGTGTTGGTGAAGGTTGGTGCAAGCGAAGGTGTGTCTCCAGGGCCAATGGTCATGACCCCCGGGAGGGACGCCATGATAAGGTTCTGTGTTTGATGACTCAGGGCGTGTGGGTTGGGCTCCAGGCTGTGCAGCGCTGTCAGGGTGCTGACGGGGGGGAGCGAGCCCCCTGGAGCAGAGATCTGTGGGACAGGAAGGAAGCCAGGAGGTCTAAGGACCCATTGGATCCTGGCAGGTGTCTGGGGACCACAGTAGAGCCCAGTGATCTTTAAGTCAAAAGTCTCTGCCATCCTTGGCTTGATCTGGCTGGTCCTTCTCCTGCGAGGTTCAACACCCAGCTTGGACATAAATGGGCTGGGTGATCAGAGTGTAAGGTCGATCTCTAGTGCCGTCTGTAGACACCACATACCAGGAGGGGGAAGCCCTAAAGATCCCATCATCCCAGCTCCCACCCACCCCCATCTCGATGGGCAGCATCCCTCCCACTGGCATGCTCTGAGAATGTAGCCACAGAGTCTCCCCACCAGGGTCTCAGGCACTTTTCACTCACCAGCTTGGTGTCTGGTCCTGAGCTGGTGGAGCAGAGACTGGGGGAGGAAACTTGGTGCAGGATGGTCTGGGTGGTTGTGATGGAATTGTGCTGGCTGTTGTTGGAGGTCTCACTGACCGGTGGCTGGCCATACCTCATGCCCGGGTCCGAGAAGGAGAGGCCTTGTGGCTGCTGCTGCTGCTGCTGATGGAGAGGGGAAGGCTCTGAAATGACAACAGCAACGAGAAAGCTTCAATGGTGAGGATGGGCAGGGACAAAAACCCCGTGCCACAAACTTGGGAGGGGATTTCCATGCCACAAGCTTTCGCCCCCAGAATAACTCTCTGTTATGCTGCCTGCATCCTCTTGCTCAGCCAGGGGCAAATGTTTGTATTTGGTAACTAAGCACAGGGCGGGGGGAGGGATACAGGAAGTGTTTCAGTCCCCGTAGGACAATGGGCCCCAACTTTTCTGGCTCTATGACTGGCAGAGGAGGGGATGGTTTCACGTGTGCAACCTAATCCTGTGCATGTGCAAAAGGAGCTTTGCTCATTGCCGGATGTTTGGGTGGACCAGTTCCCAACAGGCTGCATACCAGTAGCAGACCACGGACTGAGGGTTTGGGGACCCTGCCTTAGGAGACCGATGCTCCAACTTAGCAAAGCTCCCACATCTTCCTGCTTAGAAACAGAACTTTACATATGAATATATAGGTACCGTATTTTTCGGAGTACAAAACGGACATTTATCCCTCAAAAAGAGGGTGAAAATCTGGGTGCATTTTATACATTGAATACAGCATTTTTGCCTCCCGAAACCCCTCCCCTTCACCAAAATGGCCGTGCATAGCCTTTAGGAGGCTTTCAGAGTGCTCCTGGGGGCTGGGGAGGGCAGAAATGAGCAAAAGATGGGCTGTTTTTTGCTCAATTGTACCCCCCAACCCCCCAGGAGCACTCTATAAGCCTCCTAAGGGCTGTTCATGCCCTTTTTTGGGGGGGGAAACAGGCTCGTTTTCGCAAAAAACGGGCCGTTTTGGGGAGGTTTGCAGAGTGCAAATGCTTTTTTTAAATTTG